AGGCCAAACTTCATGAGTTTTGTTTTTAATTTTGGTACTTACCTAAATATATGACCATGCTAGTGATTTGGCTCCTCATTTATAATAGTATCTGGATTTCAAAAAAGTTAAATTTATAATTTTGTAAGGTAACACTAAAAATGTAGATGCTGAATTGGAATAAGGAGAAAGTGGGTTCAAAAGCAAACTAGCTGTAATGTTAGTTTAGGCAAGAGATATTAAAGAGATAAATAATTAAATTGGTAATGTAGTATAGTAAAATATATTTGAAATATTTTAGGAGATAAGAGACACAAGAATTTGTGATCAGTTGTATCTAGGCTGTGAATAAAAGGGAAAGAGATGAATTTAGGAGGTATATTAAGCTGTATATATTTACTAATAGGGTCACTGTTATGATGCTTTAAACTGAGAAAATCTTCTCCAAAGAGAAACATTGGACATACTGAATTTGAAGATATGTGTGTATGTCTCACAAACCAAATTATTGAGAACATAGACTTAGAAGTATGAAAGTGATTCAGTTATTTCATGGATATTAATCTGAAAGATTTGATAGTCATTCCTGTTAATGTGATTGAAATAATATGGGGGTAAGAGATGGTGGGAAAAGAAAGAAATTCTAGCAATAGTCTTGGGAGCATATGCAGTTAATGGATCATTGGAATAAAACCCAATAAAATAAAGAAGTAAGGGAAATAGTGATGACATGGGAATCTAAGGAGGGCAGATTCAAGAAGATCAATATTACCAAGAGCTGTTGAAGTACTAAATAGCAAAGGTCTGAGTGGTGATGCACTTTGTCATCGCAAAGTCATTGTTAAACTTGGGAGTATTCCCAGGGTAGATGTTGAAACAAAATTCAGAGTGGAGGTCAATAAAAAGTAAAAGTTTAAGGATGAGATGATGGTGAGGACCTTCTTCAAAAGTGTAGCTATAAAGGTATGGGGAAATATGTCAATAGTTTAGGTGAATAAACAAGGTCAAAATAAAAGAAGGTTGTACGTTGTTGGATAAGGGATGAAGAGACTCATGATATAGAAAGGGGATAATACATGATGGAAAAACTAATCAAGGAAGGAATAGAACAATAGTGGAAGTATTTAGAATCTAATACATATCACTATTACTATAAGATGAAGTTGGAGACTGGTAGAATAGGAATTTGTTATATCACATCACTTATTTTTATTTCTTCACTGTATTAGCATTCTCTTTTTAATGCTTCAAAGTGAATACATTGATTCATCAGTTTCTCAGATGATAGTAAAAATATTTGAAACCTTGAGTTCTCATGTTTAGTTAGGTATTTTTGATATATCTAAAGAAAACTACTATCTTTGTTTCATGATTTTGCCCTCTTAACAAATACTGTTCTCAGATTTTGCCCTCTTAACAAATACTGTTAGGTAGAGACTTTGAGTCTATATCTTTATCTTAATCAGCAGGAAGCCTGAGGCCATTAGCAGCTTTTTGCCATATAACCAGGTATCTATAAAAGAGTGGTTATTACTAATTTTCCCATTGAAAATTGAAATACAACAAAGATTGTCTAAAAATTTATAAAAAGAACAGCACAAAGATAGTTTTGCTTAATACTACATAATATAATATTGAATGACATAATTATTGCCTACCTAACATATACATTTTTAAAAATCTATAGCAATAACATCTTGAAAAAATTGGGAAAAGTTGGGTTAAAATCAGTGTTACTGATTTACTTTCAGTTTCAAAGTATCCATTAGTCAACAGAGTAATATAACTTGATTTTTCTTTTTTTGGAAGTTTCCAAGTATTATTATGTGATAACTTAATTGGTTATTTAACTTTTATGCAATTATTCTGAATTATATAGTGTATAAATCAACTGAATTATCTTATGTATGAATTATTTCCTTGTAGTTTTCTATTACACCACCAGGTGTCACACTAAACATAAATATTGAGTACATGGAGAAATGTGCAACAGTTTCAACAAGTATACTCAGGTTAATTATATTTTAATAACTAAAAGACAAATGAAACACAATACAAGATATTAATGAAATATTTTTCATGTATTAATTTTCTTACAACAGCACTTTCTTCTTCTGGAAAATCCTATAACAAGTATCCAAACATTTTTTCAAATGTGCAATTCATTCTAAAAATCATGGAAATCATATATAAAAGAGAAATACCTGAGTCGATTTTTAACCCTGTGGAAAATGAGAAAAGATATGATACCATAGGTTCTGATGTGGTGAGTATATTCTATTGCATGATGAATCAGATAAAAGTACAATCATTAAATAATTGTGTTCTCCAATTCAGTAGGAATTATTGAAGATGGGTTTAGCTGCAGGGAGAATTGAACAGAAAGACTCTAAGTTCTTGCACCCATATGTGCATTTCCTGGATAGTAGTTAGTGTGACTAATACTGGGGAGTCATTATGCACTACTATTACTTTATATGGGGTAATAACATATAGTAGCATCTTGCTTATAGATTTCATTTCAGCTAATTAATTGAAAATTGCAACATACTTTAGATTGATTTATAAGTGAACATTTTAAGATATAGGGAATGTGCATAAAGTGTAGGCTATTACTGTGAACAAGTGCGATGTTTGCATGCTTCCATAATTCATATGTAATAACATTTTATATGCTATTAAAATGAAGAAAATCAAGTGGTTCAAAATTGAGAAGCTAAAATAAAAGCCTAATACTTTAAAAAAGCTTTAATTTTGAACTCTGAGGTTAATGATGAACATTTAATGCTTCCTCTATCCCAATTATATACTTGATAAGTAATAAACTATGTATTATGCAAACACAACCAAATGAGTACATAATTGTTCTTATACCCTGTAGGCTGAGATGCTTCAAAAGACAAACCTCAGACTCTGGAGTTCATGATGTGCTTATTGATTTATCTTATATTTATTTCAAAAGAAAGCAGTGAATGTTTTGAAACCTTTATTGCTTTTATTTGTCATATACATTTATTATTTTATAGTTTATAGAGACTTTGTTTTTGTAATAATTCTTAAAAGAAAAAAAAACTTTTGACATAATGCAAATTGAAGCATTTATCTTTTTATAGTTTTACCTGTGAGTTGCTTCATAGATTTCCCATATTTTCATGGGCTTCTTCTAAACTTAATTGTAATTTAAATATATAAGGAAAGACATTTAGCCACATCCATTGTAAGCGTGCTAGGCAACAGTGTTCACTTGTTGAACCATTTATGTAAAGAGATATGTACTAAGTAATTTGAGTTGTTTGGTTAGAGTTACATGTGAACACAATTTTCTTCATGCATAAACTTTTTTTTTTTTAAGATTGATTTATTTATGTCTACAAGAACTGGGGTACAGGTCAAATGTGTTTGGGGTGGGATGGAAGGTTTCACCGGAGACAAATTGGGGAGCAGAACAGGCAGACTGAGTGAAATGAACTGCTAAGGGGAGCAGCAGGCAGGTCAGGAAAGGTCTCCCATGCCATGTGGGTCACCTCCTTGGTGGGGAATCAAATTCATGCTACAGGGACTGCAGACAGCTTCATGGTGCTGTGCTTTAACCCATTATAGCACCAGGGAGGGGCTGGGATTTTTTTTTTAAGGTTTAAAATACTTTAGCAATAAATATATAATTTGAGTTATTGAACAATAGAAAGGATACTAATTATGAAGAGAAAAGATCCACAGACCACTAACTGTGATCCAGAGGAGCTGTTAAGCTCTCTAATGCCCTATGTACCTTTTTTAAAAATAAGATTTCATTTTCATTACCACCATTGTTAACAACAATAATCATCATCATCATATATGCCCTAACTAATATACAAAGTGGTTGTAGAGAAAAATAGTACATTTTAAATTATTAAGTACCATGTGAATGTAAATTATGATTACTGGAAAAATATATTTAGTAATTTACTTTAACTCAGGCAGTTAAATATAATCATTTTTATATAAGGACTTGATTTATGTGACTAAATTTTATGCTTAACCATGTAGTAGGTAATTGTATTTAACTCAATAAGGTGATTTAATATTTTCCATTAAACAAATAAGATACCATTAAATCTTGATACCCTAAGTGTTCTGGTTATAAAGCAAGCAAGCCGAATTTAACATTGTGTCTCCTTCTTTTAAGAATTAATCTGTTGTTTTTTATTGGTTCACTCTTGGTGTACATGTACAAAGAAATGGAAGCCTTGTTGTATAGTTTGGCCTAAACTGCTATAGAAGGGTAAGATGTCAACACATGAAAATACCATGTCTGCCTAGAGTGGGGACCAGTCACTAAGCGTGCTTTTTGCCATGTTTTAGAACAAAGGGCATGTGTCAGTTTTTCTCTATGTCAGCTCTATACTTGTCATTCTGTGAGGAGATTATAACAGATTTTAGTCTATCAGAATTACTGGCTTCTTCTTTCTCTTTTACCCAAAATAAAAAGAATACAAAAGATAGTGCAGCTTCAGTGCTCTAAAATTTCTGATTCAGCTAACTGAGTCAGTGCTTGATTGCAAATTTAAACGTTCTCCATCACAACCCAATTTCTCCAGTAGTTTAATTTAAATGAGTTTCTCCAGTTCAGTTGAGAATTAACCTATTCAATATCCATTACTCTTACCTTCTGAGAGGAAAAGAGAGAAAAAGAGGGAAAATTGAAATATAAAATATACATTTGTATTTATCCTTTCTCTCTTTATATTTAGTATGCTATAGTAGAGAATTTGTTCCTATAGCACTAAGTTACAACAAAGCCAAAGTTACATATAGCTTATTTTTTGTCACCTTCAAATACTTTGTTTTTAAATATATTTATAGGCATTATAGTAAAGTCGTAATTGCTTCCAAAGTGCTGTTCTGAAATTGCTGGGTAAAAAATAATTCTGTAGAATACACATATTAGGAAATGTAGGCTCTGGATATTGTTTCTATTTAAGAATAGGGAATTTCCTTTCCTTGCTGTTGGAAGCCATTTCTCCTTTTAGGGCTTCCATTGACTTTGACAAATGGTACACTTTAATTAGCTCTATGGATTGCAGAGCCAAAATACTGGCTTGAGTTTTTGCTCTTTCCTTTGTTCACTGACAAGGCTGAATTTGCTAAACACAGTTGTCACATGATAATCATAACAAGATAGTTTTTTGTAGAATGTAGATTTAAGCTCAACTAAAATGCAGCAAATCCCTTACTTAATTGTTGCATATGTTCTAAAGGATGAATCTTCCTGAAACTAGGAGACACATTTAGTTTACATTAAAATGTGATTAACAGTCTCATCCTCTGATGCTTTAATTACCTTGCAAGCCAAAGGGATTATCTAAATGTGGGATATTTTGTGTTGTACTGTCACTATAAATGGTTACTTAGAACTGAGTTACACCGAGACACAGGTTCTTTAAAATTAGGAGCATAACCCTATGACTCACATATTATTACCCATCCAAATAACAAATTTGAAGAGCACGCCCACCATGGCAATGTCAACACTCCCCCAAAAGATTAAAAATGATGATCATAGAACTTTCACTCTCTCTTTTTTTAGTTTACTTATTTATGCATACAGAACTGGGGTACAGGCCAGAGGTGCAGGGGCAGTGAGAGGATTCACAGAACTGGGGTATAGGCCAGAGGTGCAGGGGCAGTGAGAGGATTCACCAGATTCGGAGTGGGGAGCAGAACAGGTAGATCAATGGGACTGCTGCACCATGTGGGTCACCTCTGGGGCGGGAATTGAATTCACACCAAGTGGTCTGGCCATCTTTACAGTGCCCTGCTGTAACCCATTGTGCCACCAGGGAGGGTCTACAAATTTCACTTTATAGCCAAAAGAGAATCTGATTGTAATTTTAAATTGGCCTAAAATTCAAGCTGATGGGTTTTCTGAATTCTCAGTCAATAGTAAAGTAACATTTATTTGGCAGTGGACATTATAATAGGTAACAATTTGTTATACTTATCTCTCAACTCCACATATTGAGTGGGACTGACTTAGTATAAAGGCAAAGAAAGCTACACCATCTAACAGCTTGCAGATTCCTGCACTCTGCCAGTCATCTACACTGATGATGTATAGGATGATAATATGAAGTCACATGATCATCAATATTATGCTCATTCATCCATGTATGACAAATACATGTAAATATTTATCAAGATCTTCCTGCTAAATGTTCTATATATGTAAGATGAATAGGTGATAAGCCTCACTGATGTAGGAAATTCACAAGAGTGCTAAGAATGCTGAGGTCCTTCAGCTAAAGACCACCAGGAGTGCACCTGAATCAAGCAATTTTTACTTGTTTCAGGGACAGAACACACTCCAAGAAAACATGGGATGGCCTAGTATGAGGGCATACAAATGAATCTGTTACAGAATTTGGACATTGTGTAGGTGATTTGAGGATGGCTCTGAAGAATCAGGGTTTCCTCTATACATTTATGATGCTATCATAATGTAGGAACAATTCAATCACTGCTTGTTTATGGGTACATGGTAACTTTGTTTTTCTATCCCCCCCCCCAATTGTCAAGTGTTCTTGTTTATTTTCATGTAATATTGTCTGAAGTAGATTTTATGTGAGTTTATATATCAATTTATCCTTTCTCTCTTTATATTTAGTATGCTATAGTAGAGAATTTGTTCCTATAGCACTAAGTTACAACAAAGCCAAAGTTACATATAGCTTATTTTTTGTCACCTTCAAATACTTTGTTTTTAAATATATTTATAGGCATTATAGTAAAGTCGTAATTGCTTCCAAAGTGCTGTTCTGAAATTGCTGGGTAAAAAATAATTCTGTAGAATACACATATTAGGAAATGTAGGCTCTGGATATTGTTTCTATTTAAGAATAGGGAATTTCCTTTCCTTGCTGTTGGAAGCCATTTCTCCTTTTAGGGCTTCCATTGACTTTGACAAATGGTACACTTTAATTAGCTCTATGGATTGCAGAGCCAAAATACTGGCTTGAGTTTTTGCTCTTTCCTTTGTTCACTGACAAGGCTGAATTTGCTAAACACAGTTGTCACATGATAATCATAACAAGATAGTTTTTTGTAGAATGTAGATTTAAGCTCAACTAAAATGCAGCAAATCCCTTACTTAATTGTTGCATATGTTCTAAAGGATGAATCTTCCTGAAACTAGGAGACACATTTAGTTTACATTAAAATGTGATTAACAGTCTCATCCTCTGATGCTTTAATTACCTTGCAAGCCAAAGGGATTATCTAAATGTGGGATATTTTGTGTTGTACTGTCACTATAAATGGTTACTTAGAACTGAGTTACACCGAGACACAGGTTCTTTAAAATTAGGAGCATAACCCTATGACTCACATATTATTACCCATCCAAATAACAAATTTGAAGAGCACGCCCACCATGGCAATGTCAACACTCCCCCAAAAGATTAAAAATG